AATGTATTTTCTACAGAAATTCTGCAGAATTCGGAGGATGCTCTTTGATACATTCCGCTCTGTACCGTCACTCCCGTTTGAGTATGTCGATTTCCCTGGAGGGCTGCGTACAGGCTTTTCGTAATATACTACGTCGTGTACTGTTTCGCGTTGTCCGTATTCCGAACGGGCGCTATCAGAATTCAACGTCGCGTCTTGTTTCAACCGATGTGCAACTGACTGCAGCGTTGCTAGCCAAGCGTTGTCAACGGCGGACACCGATCGATATCACTCGTCGGTGATGACCAAGAAGTTAGGTGTCCATCTTTGTCAAGGTGTGGCCGGCAACGGTGTCAGTCAGTCGCACGTCGGTTGAAACAAAAATATCGTTGAAGACTGAGATCACCCAACCACAACACGACAAGGGCAGAAGCAAGGGTGGCAAAATACTAAAAGCAATAAGCAAAAAGGAAGCATCATGAAAAGAATACCGCTGAACAGAAACAAACTAGCAATCGAAGAATATCTAATCCAAAGAGCAAAAAACATTGAAAAATAATGAACAGTACAATTAGTAAAAACTCGAAGAAGAATTATTCCTACAAATCCGTTCGGTATCGATCGACGTCCAGCCTTGTCAGCGGGTGAACAGCAACGCTCAGCGCTCTACGCTTAAAGACGCCGGCGTAAACCCCTGGATGACACGTTTTTTGAGGCGCGGACATAAATTTGTAGGAATGAATTTCTGTTGTCTTTTGATTTTTGGTTGGAGAACATGGGACTGGATGTGAGTGGATAGTGTGATCGTAGAATTTTAGATCTAGGAGGTTCTCCAATTTGGAAAATTGCCTTATATTACTTGCACATGGGGCAACTAGCATTTTAGGATTCTCACATTATTCCAGTGCTGGTGGAAAAAGGTTTTTCGTTCCATCATACCCAGCCGAACTACTTGATGATGACGAACTGGTTACCGGAAACTCCGTCAAGGTTGCCACGGTAAGAATGATTGTTAATATGTGCTCGGTTAAATTAGCTTCAGCGATGAAAAGGATTAGTCGAATTTCACGGCATGTCCTGTTCTCATCTTGGGGTAAATCCCCTCATCGGATTTCCACTGTCGGAATATAGTTCCGTTTTTGGATGCATGCATGATTTGTACAATTAATTGCCATGGCCTATATGTCAGCACTTCTATCTCCTCGACAGGTCTGGTACCGATTAGCCGACCTCGGAGTATGGATCTAAATGGCCAGCAAGCTTAACATCCGAGACTTCATCCATTGGCTTGTTCTGTGATCATACATCACTTAACGCTATATCAGCTCTGCTACTGTACAGCTGACAATTTTCTAAATGAAACTTCAAGATACTTGTAGATATGCACACACAGTGATCGGTGTCGGTGGCCTTGTGATCGATCCACATGATCGCGTTCTAATGATGAGGGAAAGACGGGCGTTAGTTTGTTAGGTTCTAGTTCTGTTTTGAAATTACTCACTTCCATTTTCAGACATTACCTCGGTTGGAAATATCCGGCCGGAGCTTCTGAACCTGGAGAGAGCATATTCGATACTGCTGCTCGCGAAGTATTCGAGGAAACTGGTGTGAAAGCAATAGGAAAAGCCGTGCTATGTTTTAGGTATGTTAAGCAAACCTTCTTTATGTGATCTCTGCGTTTGCTACCATTAAATGTACATAGGAAAGCTACTCTAATGGTTTAAAATTTTTTATTTTTTTTATTTTATTATTATTATTATTTCTATTATTTTCTATTACCTGGCAAACCAATCTGGTTTCCGATGTTTGAACTAGTTGGGTTTTCACCTGAGCGATCGTCCCAATGTTAGCATTTACTTTCTGATGCTTTACATCTAGTAGTGTATTCGACTGGATATTAACATCTTCAATAGCTTCACATACTGAACACTATTAAGGCATCCGTCATGACAGAAATGGACTCTCGCCGGCTCAAAAATGATAGCTGTTGTACCACACAGAACGCGGGGAATCTTTGCTGCTAATTATTAGTGGTAGACTTTTCTAGCCAATTTGGTGATTCGAAGATCGACACTGCACCCCTTTGCTGTATAATTGTTTGGTGGTTAATGGCTAGTTCAACCAAATGTTGTACCTATTCGTGACTATGTGGTTTGGAGGGTTAAATAGCACGGCATAATACTCCTTATCGTATACACTCTCGAGGAACAAACGAGGAATGAAACTTGATAGTAGAGGAGGAATATTCTTGTGTCTTGCGAGGTATCTAGGTGGGAATGGTTATTAACTTAAACGATCCAATTGGTGTACTCAGTTTAAAATTCAAAGAGTTGAAAAAGATACGTGTCGAGAGCATTTTCTTCGACGACACCACCTCAGTGCATGTTGAAAATACGCGAAACACACGAATTATACTTACAATGTTATTTTTGAGAGCAGCCGATGTCTTACATGAAATTCCCTTGTGAACTCGTGTGCACATGCATGCCTGTATGACATGTACATGCCTTTTGTATGCGTCGCTCCCTCGTGTTCCTTTCATCCACTCGATGGGATTTGAAGGCATGCCTAGCCCATAAATGTACCTAATAGGTCGCCTGTATTACCGTCAACGCGGTGGCCCTCTTAACAGGTTTTCTATCTCATAAGCTTAAAAGAAATGGGTAACTTTGGTTGGTCTGGGCTTCCACCCAACGGAAAGTAAGAATACCCAACTTAAGGCTTCCACTTTCATCTCTTTGGCATTCATAGCGGCGTTCGAGTGTGGTGGGTACCTTATGGAATGCAGCCCTCTCTTGCCCCTGTCTAATCTTTCGCTTAATGCATCGTCCACTTTTTGCGTATCCGTGGATCATATGTCTTATACTAACCTCTTCTTAACATCTTATTCTAGAGATGGGATTGGTAATTGTACCACACTGTATTAACCAGGGCAACTCTTGATTTCGTGGTTCATGGCGGGNNTTTCAATTATCGTCAAATCCAAAAAAGCTGCCCATAACTCCGTGGTGATGAAAGATGCCGTGCGCATTAGGTGGTGCTTACAAGGAATTGAAGACAATGCCTCGATCAGATTTCACTGCCGAAATCACGTGCGTGGCGCATTGTTCGACTGGTTTTCTCGTGATGTTTTTTGCTTCCCATTTAAATGATTAGGTTTTCTGTACACCACCCGTATTTTCAGACAGCTTGCCATGTCTCAGTATGAAAATGTTGGCGATATCTTCTTTATGTGCGTCATGGATGCAGTGGATGACTCAAAGATGGCACGCGAGACGGAGGAGGCAGCTGAATGTAAATGGTTCACGAGGTAACTGAACGGTTTATAAAAAGGTTGCGCTTAGCGCTCTGATTTTTCGGACCAGTGCAGTGTAGCAGCGAATGACACGTTTGAATGGCAAGTTCTAATGGTCACTGAAGTCGTCAAAGTAATCTGTAGCTGCAGAGGGTAACTAAATTATCATGTTCGTCAGGTTTATAGAAAAGCAAAGGGTATAAAACGTATCGTGACAGAGAACGGCCACTTGCCTAGCTTTAACATTTATTCGAGAATCATATAGTGTAAAATAGTATTGTTCAGTATGGTATAATGTAGTACAGTATAGTCACATTCAGTAGTTGTCATATGTCTTCGGTAGAAGGATTTTTCAGTTGTAACTTTATCTGTTTCATAAAACCACATAAAATATTAGTCTGATAATCAAAGAGTTGTNTGACAGAGAACGGCCACTTGCCTAGCTTTAACATTTATTCGAGAATCATATGGTGTAAAATAGTATTGTTCAGTATGGTATAATGTAGTACAGTATAGTCTCACATTCAGTAGTTGTCATATGTCTTCGGTGGAAGGATTTTTCAGTTGTAACTTTATCTGTTTCATAAAACCACATAAAATATTAGTCTGATAATCAAAGAGTTATTGTGAATACTTACCGCTACTGAACTGCAATTAGCTATTGTTCCCGGTACGTTAGTGAGACTATTGTTCACGGTACGTTAGTCAGATTTAACTCAAATTCAGTGGAAAATACAGATAGCATAACCTAGAAGAACCGCTTTATTTCGGAATAGCAACATCTAAAACACCAAAAACTCGATATTTGGTAGGAAAGCTTCAGCTTCTGATGAAAGCACCGCAACAGGAAGGCATTGAGTCGGTTAATTTTTGAATAGTAGACACTGGTATGGTGTTCCACACGTTCGCTTATCAAGCGAATTTCTTCACTGATTCTACGAGTTTTGTTCGAAAACTCCTTTTAGCTCTTCCCACATGTGCTCTATACGGATGCATATCCGATGTCTGGGTTGGCCACTCCAGAAGTCTGGTTCGCTTTTCGCTGAAGGCAACCTTCACAACCACTGAGGGTGTATAGGATAACGACCTAAGCCGCTAGCATGTGTTCTGTGGATTGAACCTTTCCTCAGCTGGACGTCCTCCGTACCGTACACCAGCGCTTCCAAACCAGTTGAACTTGCTCTCATCCGCAGAAAGAACTCTACTACAGTCAGTCGAAATTGAGTGAGATGGCGGCGCGCAAACTCCGCTCTTGCTTTCCAGCTTTTCACACTGATGAAGGCTTCTACGCTGGACGCCTCCCATAAATACCAGCTTGTTTAGGCGTCTCCCTCGTCCGCCGACTAAGAATGGTCCAATCGCTCGCGCTGAACCCAGCGGCATTGTCAGCCATAGTGAGACGAAGGGTCGGCCCTCGACCAAGATGTGGTCCTTCGGTCCTTAACTGATAAAAACACATCGGGGTCTTCCCATTCTCTCAGCATTGCAAACAGAGTTCCTGACCTGACAGGGTTGAATAATAGAAGAAATCGTCTGTTATGAAGAACCTTCACCCTTGAAATCGTGACTTTCGTGCCCAATTCCTTCATCTCTACTGCTGCCTTCCGAACTCCCTGAATGACTTCTGTCCTTCTATGCATGCCTTGGTTGTACAAGTACTAACGTCGTGTGCAAATGGGATGCAAAAAAANAAAAAAAGCACTTATCGCTAAAAGGTCGCTTCTGTAGTAAGACCCCTGCGCGTAGTCCCGTGAACATCCAATTTTGAAGTGAAAAGGTATAAACTATTACAGTTTGGTACAAGGTTAGGTCCGACATGTCAGAATTTTTCTTGAACCCCTCACTAGAAAAAATTACGATTCGAAATACTTTTCACCGATGACTTTTGGCCGCTACTGTATAATAGTCTTGATGTTTCGTTGACCGCTGTTACTTCGCCGCAGCGCGCAATCCGAAAGTTCTCTTGAAAACTGCAGTTATTTTACCAACTTTATTACTCTTGATAAGCTTCCAACTTTTCTCTTTTCTTTTTTATTCAGCATTAGGCGTAGCCAGTGAACAAAATAATCGCCGCTGTTAGTCACCTATGCAAACCATCTTCCGAGCAGGTCAGCGATCGGGGAGACTGTGAGTCGAAGATGTTGGCGACAGCCTCACTTGTGCCATCAAATTTCGTGCGGGTTTTCGCAGCCAGGTTAGCCCTTAGTGGGCGCAACAAGTGGTTACCAGAGGGGACTATGTTAGGCAGTATGGGTGATGGGGTACGGTGTCCCAGCCTAGCTCTGCAAGTTTTTCGTGGCTATCATTAACTAAGGCGGTCTGGCGTTATCAAGGAAGGGTGAAGCTCGTTTCGACCATTTTTCCTGAATGGCTTCGGCAAATTTTTGAAGCTGAGTGGCGTAAACGGAAGCAGTAACTACGAGCTTTCACCAAGGAGCAACATTGTGCCCCCGCGGGGGCCCCCACTTTATGAAATACTCGTCAGGTTTCACAGTTAATCAGGGATGGAATCCGCTGTCGCCACAGTTGACCGTCAGTAGCGAATGATACTTCTACATGTCTCCCTCATACTTATGATAAGGGGACCACATTGTTATGCTACTGACCATGGGTCATAGCAGTGCGGTAAGTTTGGTAGGAGTTCGCTGGTTCTGGATTGACACTGTTATTTATTTTGGGATTCCTTTGCAGAAACCGGAACACCTCTAATGAATTTCCCCTTTTGAAATTTCCATCTTCACCGCTGATATTGTGCACCTCGTTCCAATTGTCGTGTTGTACTCCTCACCTTCATGTCGACAGAGCACTGTTAAAAGACTGCTGTGCTTCATACTAGCTGTTCTTTTATCCGTATAGCCAGTTGCCTTCCTGTCCCACCGACAGTTTATCGACATTCTAGCTGGCAGTTCACGCCTATGAGTGCGCAATCTGTTTTCACTTATGGACATATGGTACAATAGTTTTTCAAGCGCTGTTAAGCATGCAGCCGCGTTCGAACTAGCTGTTGCTCGATAATGCTGCTGGGAATCATGTTGTTGACGACCGCACGTTGAACGATTTCTGGGTGATATGGTGTAGCGTGAATTTAGATATTATTCGAGCAAGCTTTACACTACCTCTAACAACACCTCTGAACACAATTACTTGTGTGTTCAGGTAAGTGAGTCGAGCGTTATGCGATTTCTCTCGTGTGTGTTCGATGTACTGTGACTGTTATGACTGTTCATTCATAGATCCAAAACAGTTGTCCGTTTCGAGCTGCGTAGACGTCATGACGAAGCAGTCATCAATATATCTTCAATACATCAAATGACTTCGTCCTAAAACCGCCCTTACAATTCTGCCCATAAAGCAAACAACAAGAACGGTGCCAGCCGTTAACCAATAGAAGAACCTCTGACTCGGGAAAATGAATTGTTTACAATGCTCATTTCCGTGTACTTCGATCGTTGTTAGAACGATTACGGAAGAAGTGCTATTTTACAGGTGGCGAAGGTGCAACGATGCGTTGTTCATGCAAAAGGAGAGACATTTCGAGCTCGCTAAAATCAGTAAATTGATCCGTCATTGAGCGTTAGTACACTAGAAACGCCGTCATCCACAAAACGTTTGAGTAGTTAAATCTCCTGCTGGTCAATTGTACCGAATATAAGGGTTCCCGTCGTTTTGCCCCACGAAGTCCATCTAGCCTGAAAACATTTAGCTTATAGAATTTAAAAGGCGGTGCACCAGTGTCATAAAGGAATTGACAAATGGGAGGGGGTGTGACCACTTGTTGTATGGAATCATGAATGTTTTTCGCTCCGCTTGTTATCTACAATAACCAGTATGGAATTTTGTCCTTCGTTGGATTCCAAGTTTCTTAGGTTGTTTGAAAACAACGTAAGTTTGTATAACGTATAGGTCCACGAAATAACTTATTCAGATATGCTTCTGTTGAAGTGAAAGGGTTTTGTATTCCTCATTCATGCGAGCAATGTTTCAGGGAAGAGATAAAGTCGTTACCGGGAAATCTTATTCGTGATTTCCATCACGAAGTTCTCGCTAGGTACGACAAATGGAAAAGCGCTGGCCGACCAGGCTGTCATATGGAACCATGCAAACTTGCTGGGAAAACGTGTAATATGTTCTATGTTGACTGAAATGTATTTCAGTGAGGCCAATCGTCTCTAAAAACTTACAGAAATGTAGTTACTCGGAAATTTACAAGAATAAAAGCATTCATGTGTGTCATTTCAGCGGTTTGCGCAGTGTTATATTATTATATCATCAAGTAACAATTTTTCTCTCAATTCACCTTGTAGAAATCGCTAATATTGTGTATGTGTGTATAAGTATCATGCGTATGAGTATATGTAAATGTGTGTATGTACATGTGTTTGTGTGTGTGCGATTGGAAATCCATGGCTCTTGTTTTATTAGGTTCAGAACTTTGTGAGATGACAGCCAGACTACGTTTAGAAGAGTTGTGAGCGAAATGCATCGCAGTAGATGAAAGTAAAGGCAAAGTAGAATACAACCAAGTTGGGATGTGTAAGGACTGAACCAAGCTACGTGAAGCTACGTGGCTCGGACGTGAAAATCGGAATACAATCTGAGATTGGGCAAAGTTGAGAAGCAAGAATCTGAATTGAAGACCGAAACTGGAACGAATTTTGGCGAAACTTAGTTTAGTAATCTATGTTCAAGTTCAACACGATAGTAATTCCGAAAAATCGAAAAGTTTGGATTTCTTGGCACTGGGGTGTACGGGGGCACCGAATGCAAGCCCTTCCATTTGAAAATTTCCGGATAATTACTGTAAAGGTTGGAAAGCGGCACATTTATTTTTGGAATCAAATCTTTTTCCGTTTTTTTATGACGGTAAAGCACTGCTACATGTTGTGTGACACAGTGTAAGACTGGATTACTGATAGCGGATCACAGAAAGTTGTAGCAATTCCGACGACTTCACTTCCCGGTTTGCAGCTCAGTAGTGGACCAGGTACACTAAAAATCTGAGAATCCCTCCCAGTGACTCATCACTGTGTCCCCTGTCGCTACAGTGATCATCGATTTCCTCGAGCGTGCACCAGTAACGTTTCCATTCGTCTCTGTCGCGAACCAGAGTATTTCAGTTAATCATGCTCGCTTGAGAGACGCGGAGCAGCGCATTTCTCTCGTTCAGAGCTCATGGTTCACAGCATTCGTGAAAAAGCGACCATAATGCTGGGAGCCGTCGTGGTATTCGTTTGATGCCCCGAGGGATCTAGCCAGTAACCGCCTTGGTCTAACAGATCACAACATCGCATCATGTGTCTGACCCACTGATCTTTGAATTCTTTTCATAAGAAACGACATCTCTAAACTTCTTTCGTTCACGGAGCTCGGAACTCTGTATTTCTTCTGCTTTTCAGTGTATAGGGGAGTTCCGAGCATCGCCATCGTCCTCTCCTCAGCGCCTTGAATGGAGCTGGCTGCATGTTCATCCTGTTTTCATAGAGTCCAAGGCTCGGAGGCGTATGTCAAAGCAGGAAGGATTGCAGTGTTGTAAAGGTGAGCGCGGAGCCGGACGTTCTTAGTCTTCTTCATTACTCCTTCGATGTTCTGAGCTGCTACCACGCCTCACGTTTCCTTCTGCTCAGCTCCGGTGCTAGGTCATTAATCATATTGTCCTCGCCTAAATACTCGTAGCTAACGCATTCACAGATGTTCGTTCCGTCCAGCTGGAATGAGCATAAGGTACCAATCCGTTTCTTATGAACGTCGTCAGTTAATGGCAAGCTGGTTGTAGCCGATTCAGTTGTGAGTCGATCTTTCCACAAGCGTTGTCGAATTCGGCCAGCATTTGTTCCGCCTGTTCGATGTTAGGTTTTAAAAGGACAATGTCGTCTGCAAAGCGGGATGGTGCAGGTAGCGGCCATCGACCGTCACTCCCATGCCTTCCCATTCCATGTGAAGCAGGATGTCTCGAATGCGGCACTGCAAATTTTGGGCGAGATGGCATCGTCCTGCTGAACCGCTCCCCACTTTGATTATGACTTCTTTATAGAATGGCGAGATCCTTTCTCTGGAGTTGTTGTAGAGGTCGCGAAGCATCCTTATATATTGAGTAGGAACACCCTGATTGGCTAGGCTTCGATTACCGCTTCTGTCTTGACAGTATCAGAGTCTTCCTTCAAACTGTTAAACGTAAAACACGCAACGTTCCGCACTCTCGCGATACTTCGATGGGTCTTGGAACGGTGTGTGTGTGATCGATTGTTCTGAGCCCTCTTCGAAACTCTGCTTGCTCGCATGGTTGTTCTTCATCTTATATACTGCCAATCCTATTCAGGATGTGCGTGTGCAAAGCTTGTAAATTACAAACAGCAGCAGATTGGGCGATAACTGCCAATATCGTCTGAATCTCTCCTCTTGCTTGTTTTGTCTTCTAGCTTGCTAGTTTTCCACGACGTGGGCACTNTCCATTCCGACAGGTACCGCGTGAACAGAAAAGCCAAAGTTTTGACGATCACTGGTTTAAGACTCTTTGGATGTTCTGGATTAATCCTATCGATACCAGGCGACGCACAGTTCCTCATTGCGTTATGGCATATCGAATGTTGGAGGGCGACATATCAGTAATGCCTGAGATGGTAGGTAGGCATTCAGGCGTGGCTATTTAACAGATTCTAGTAGAGGTCGTAGATGACCTTCTCCGTTGTCCTTTGAGGTGCAGTAACTGTTCCATCAAGACGGCGAAAGGAAGTCACGAAGTCAAGCTGGCTGAACGTCAGCGTCGAGTAGTGGATGGTGATGGAGCATACTTCTAAGCTCTAACCTTCTCCGCACTTCGAAGCGACTACTCAGGTTATGTCAATGAGTTTTCATATTAGCAACCGTTAGGCATATTCCCCTCCCCCTCTCCCCGACAGAACTAGCCGGAACTAACAGAAGAAAAGGTAAAAGATCTTTTACCGCTGCACGTTTATTGACCAGTACCCCACAACTGATGCTTAGGCGGATTTTCTGTGCGTTTATTGTTCTGGGACGCTTGGTGAGCACACCACCTTCGAGAAACCCTCTCCCTTTTTAGAGTTCACCCGAATGCACGAGGTCATCGCATTCCAAGAACATTCCGCGAAACTCATCTTCTGAAAACTTGGCAACCACTATAAGGATAGCTCAACTACGTTTGCTCAACTGCTATCCTTGACTTCCGGACCGACCTCATCTTTTGTCCCCACGCTTCCAAGCGGGGTGCGTCCTGTCCTAAATCGAGCTGTAAATCGCTACTATGGCATGCCAGTGATCATCCAAGCCGATTACCTCTTCATGCCAAGACCCGATCATCGAGAACTTCACTGCCTCTTCTTGACCACGACTCTGTTAGAGGCACAGTTCAGGATAATTTTGGGTCACCCAGATTATGATGAAGAATGGAAGATAAGATGGAAAATAGTGCGATGAAGGCGAAGAAACTGCGTGAATCGTGTTCTCCATTGGGAAAAAAGGCTTCGAAAAGTCGTTTAAAAGGGGGCTGGACGAGAATGAGACTTGAAATGAAGAGTGGGGCTTTGGACGGCCTTTACGATGTGTCATTGCGTTCGTGTGGGTTCTGGTGCGAATAGCTGACTACGGTAGGCAAAATACATTCACTTATAAGCATAAGTTGACAGAAAAAGCTTATTAACAGCAAAAATAGCAAATTTGTTTAGCGCCTTGTGGTTTGAAATAAGGAATCGCAGCAGAAGAAAGAATATCAGAGATCAAAGGAATAGCAGAACACATCGTCTCATTTCTCTTCGACCAGCTGTTTGTAAGTGGGTATTAGAGCGAACACTGCAATCTGTATCTTCAATCTTTCGCACACTTTCTTAAAAATGAAGGCCCGATAAAGATTCATTTGTCGGGCCACGAAGCCTCGGGTGGTACTCCCAAATGTTTCGTGTGATGATAACACCATTATAAGATGTTATCAATGAACCATTTTCTTTAAAGAGATGTCATTAGTTAAAGGCACAGTTTACGATAGAAATGGTTTCGGAAATTTACACATGGTAAGAATTCGGGGGCTCCTCTGATACCATGTGTGCCGGAATAAAGTCGAAAAACGTTCTGGATAGGGCACAATAGGGGGCCTGAGAGTGGAGCACGGTAAGCCTCCGCCCATCGCTAGGCTGACTACGAAATCTAATTGCCGTTCACCACTTTCGCATTGGAGCAACATTAGTGAAAAGTCAGTAAGCTAATCGACCACCTCCTACTAGTAATAGTATTCGGCTGTATTCCTACCATTCGACTGATATTCTGCTCCATTCTGTCCTAAATAATTATTCTCAACCGTCATCAAAAGGATCAGGCACAATAATCTAGCTTTATATCAGCAGTAGAATAAATAATACTAAGAAGAAGAAGCCAAAATCAGCTGTTTGAGCGTGTTGTGTGCAATTGCAGACATTACGTCGCATTCGTCTACCCGCCCAAAAATTAGCTTAATCGCTGTTTTTTTGCCATGTAACTCGTCCTACCCCTTTTTCTCTTCTTTTTTAAGCTTTGTATTTCTTTTTATTCATCGTTTTTCACGTTTTCTACTTTTCCATTGTACTACTGTAGGCCGTACCTAACATTTTTCGTCAAAACCGGATACCTCAAAATTATCGTGAACTATGCCTTTAAGAGTACCAGATAACTGGCAGGCGGTTAAAAATTGTCGTAATTGATATCGAAAAATGAAGATTCTTCACTGGGTCACAAACCTTGGTAGGCAGCGGTTATAATCTAATAGCAAGAAATGAACAAAATTCTCATCTGCTTATGGTAGTGCCACTAATTGGTCCCTATGACTGTTTTTACCACTCACTTTTGTCACCCTACTCTACCGTCCCGTCTTATAAAATGAAACATACTGAACATTCAATGCAACATCGTAAATACCGAATGCGTTAAGATTTTGATTGGTAGGTGGCTCTTGCTTTTTCAGACTCCTTATCTCCTCTAAACAGTTATAATCGGTCTCTGTCACCAACTAGCTACGATCTCGGCATATTCTGCATCATTATTGAAATGTCGAGCTTCCAATGTTAATAGGAAAAGCTGTAATCCTACCAAATTCACTGCACAGGCCACGGAAACAGAAGTTGCAAACTTCCGCTCAAACTTTACCATGCGCAAGCCCCTCGGGCTAAGTCCATGGCCATGCTACGTGCCATAAGTAGTCCCATCCTGTCTCCCACACTCTTATCAAATTTGAACTCCCTAGGTCCACGGGGATGAGAGTTATGAATTTCCGGTCAAACACACACACCAACACACACAAACACAAGCACGCACACACCGACACACACAAACACACAACACACACACAACACACACACACACACACA